AATTACGCCACAATTGCACATGAATTTTCTGCTCACTTTTCAAGAATTAAATGTTTAACCACAAAAACTACAAGTCATTTTTGCCGATCTTTTCTGACGAGAACTGCGTTACGTAGACTGCAACCAGACGGTACATGACAGATTGGTCACCAATTTATAGTCTGCATTTCGGGTTTTATTTTAAAACTTCTGCGTTTTATTTGTTAATAGCTGAAACTTCTCCTATTCGGTGAAATTGTATTGCATCTTGTGAAGGTATTCGAGAAGCTAGGATATAGTTAGTGACGAATCGCTTGGCTGACACTCCGGAGTTTGCTTTCTGTTAGGTCTTACTTAAGTGAGAGGTTGTTAGATCAATCATGCGCAGAATTGTCTCATGATATCTCGAACACCTTTGGATATCAGCTATGAACTGCACTCTTTTCGGCTTCCTACAGGAACCACACTCAGTATAAAAATGCTAGTTTAAGTAATACGCATTTTTTCATCGATTTTAGATGGACTTATCAATTCGAATATACTTTATGGAAAGCTTGCCGACGAATATCATATCTTATACTCGTTTGGTAGAAAATCATTTATTATTTTTCTACTCAAATGAAGGATCTATTAAGGTTTTAAATCAGTTTTAAAACTCTCAAACTTCCGTTTCACTTGCGTCTGAGGTTTTCCATCTCCAAGCGGTGTACTTTGCATGTAGGGAAAATCATACATTCCTCTTAAGCCTTAGAAAGGTACCTCATAATACTCATGAAATTATGTTATTGATTTAGTTTATGTTGTATGGTTTATAAGGGGAATATTAATCAAATGTCAGCTACAATACTATTCGAATGGACATTTTACTGTCTTAAAAACTCTTATGATTAAAATACTTTTGAAAACGGCAAAATAGCCTTTCTTCGAATATACAATAAGGAGACGACGTGATTAGCTTCCACTGGAGTGCAGGAAGTGATATTTTGCATAGTTTTTCCATTAAGTATATTTGGATTTATAAGGGCATCGAAAACTAATGCGATAAAGTCACACTACTTAGTTTGACATCTTGTGCCGTGTTTGGTCTCTGTAGGCAGTCAAAAAGAAGTGTTTTCCAAAGCCAGCAGCCCAACATGTCCGAAATATTAAAAGATAATTCCACACAGTTATCAGTATTACTACCTAACTTAAGGTAGTTCTCCTGGTCAAAAACGCGTTTCAGAATTTCGGTTAACATTTTATTATTGCAGTTTAAAGGTTGTAAGTTTCAAACAAACGTCGTGTTTGGATACTGATTTTATTACCTCCCTCGCCTGAAACCACAGGCTTCCTGTGAAGCAGTACAAATGCCTGATCAGTATCTTAATTCTAGTATTGAGCATTGTGTCCATTTGAACTTGTTTTCTGCTTACTACTTTGAATGTAGCACGCTTAGGCAGAAGTCACCGAGACAGTGACACACTTGCCTCAATGGACAACTTAACATGGGATTCTCCAGAGGATCGATATTTGCCTTTGGATCAACCACTTCAGTATGCTTTCGAGGGATATGACAGAAGTCCGACGGGGACATATGTAATTGCCTATGAACCTGGAGATAAGTACTGAGTGCTATTTGTTTCCTGGGAAAAAAGATTCAGGCCAGTAAACCGCTACCCCTAGAGGACTATTCTCATTTCGTCCGGTCATTTTCAATGTTTTTTTATACCTTTTTTAATAATGAAAAGTGTTCAGATCCTTTGTTTCTTCAACTCGTACGAGTTCCTAACTTGCTCTGGACGTTACCTTGGTTGGGGCGGAAATATGATGCATTCAAAGAACAAGCAACATCTATCCGATTACCTTTTAAGGCGAAACTGTGCTCCGAAATATAAAGCAAGTCTCCAACTTGGATAAACTGGAGAAGCCGTTGATTTTGTACATTCTAGTCTTGTTAATTCATCTAGTGATTTAAACGAAAGCAGATCTTATGCACAGGTATGACCGAAAATTACGGAGCGACAGAAAGATCGACAATCAAACCTATTGGATTTTTTTGTCATACGCTCAGTGGATTCCCTCGCACGTCTATTCTGTGCTAATTAGTCTTTCAACGAAACGACTGAA